CCCTCTCGCACACACACGCTCTCACACACTGTCACACACATTCACGCACAGTCACACAAAGCATTCTACGCACACTCTTTATCTCACAAAAAAATCTCAGAAGCTCTTTGACATACACTTTCCTCAAACACATTCTCTCTCACACATACTCCTTCCCTTACCCTCTACCCCTCCCTAGCGCGATCTCTCACCCTCCATCCTGCACCCGCACCCCTCCCTCCCACCCACATATGAACGACTGATGGAAGGGGCAATGCTGGTGACCCAGTGGAGACTGCGACTGACGTGTTGGTTCACTGCACCTTGCATCACCATCCCGTCACTGACAGTAATCCCCAAGTTCGGTCTCTGATAACCGCCTCACATCAGATCACCGGGGGGTTCCACCAGCACACCTTGATTTTAAAAAAGAAATCTACCAATTTGTTGTGTGCTACAATTTTGTTCATCACCGAAGGCAGCATTGTTGTGTACAAAAGCAAATACCATCAAGAAATTACATTTACAATAACACAGCGATAGATTAAACCCAACCCAATGTATACCATCTATGAATAAAACTTTCCATTGCTTGATAAATACCGGGCATATTGTGTTTTCATTTCGTTTTCCATCTCAACACAGGGTTCAGAGGGAGGGGGAGCTGTGAAGGAGGATGCAGAGATGCTTCCATGTGATTGGGTCAAGTTGAGTGAGTGGGCAAATGCATGGCCGATACAGTTTAATGTGGATTGACGTGAGGCTACCACTTTGGGAGAAAAAAAAAACAGGAATGCAGATTGTTATCCAAATGGTGATGGATCAGGAAAGCAGCATGGAGGACAGGAGTTGGAACATCATTTTGTGGCTGTACAAGACTATGATAAGGATATTCTTGGAGTATGGTGTACAGTTCTGGTCATGTTGCAACAGGAAGGATGTTATTAAACTGGAAAAGGTGTAAAAATGAACATAAACATGTTGTCAGGATTGGAGAGTTTGGGCTATAAGGACAGGCTGGACAGGTTGGGATCTTTTTTTTTTAGCCCAGAGCATCGGAGGCTGAGGGGTGACCCTTTCAAGGTTTTTAAAATCATGAGGGACATAGATAAGGTAAAAGCCAAGGTCTTTAACCCGAGGGTTGGACAGTCCAAAACAGACGGCATAGGTTTAAGGTGAGAAAGGAAAGATTTAAAAGGGACCTGAGGGGCAAATTTTTCGCACAGAGAGTGGTGCATATATGGAATAAGCTGCCAGGGGAAGTGGTAGAGGTGGGTAAAATTATAAATATTTAAAAGAAATTTTGACAGATACATGGATAGGAAAGGTTTGAAGGGATATAGTTCAAACACAAGTAAACAGGGTTGGTTCAGTTTCGGAAACCTGGTTGGCATGGACGAGTTGGGCCGAAGAGTCATTGAGCACAAAAACAGACCCTGTGACTCTATGATGAGGGGCACACATGCTGTCTTTACCAGCAATGCCCTACATCCTTTGCCTGAACGAGGGGTCATAGTGTTTAAAAAAAAAACAGTCACCATCCTTACTCGTTCTAATGTTAGCAAATCATCAGCAAAGTCCTGCTGTTCCATTCAAAGATACGTGGTACCTACTGACCAGAACCTTTGGCCCTCACACTGTTGTTGTTCCTGATGGTCTTTACCAGTTTGTAATCGGACCTGTACTGCTCCATTCTTGGTGGCCAGCAACTGTCAGATCCGTACGGTGTCGATGTTAAAATCTTAATGCCTTCGACCAAGCCTGTATTTACATCAACCCAAACCCTTTTGTGGTGCAATGATAGTGTCTGTATGACTGGACTAAGAAGCCCACATTTTCTAATTCATGGAATGAGGGCATCACTGGCTAGGCAAGCATTTGTTGCCCATCCTTAGCTGTCCAGGGGGCAGTTAAAAGTCAATCACTTTGCTGTGGGTCTGGAGTCATATGAAGGCCAGATCAGGTAAGGATGGCAGTTTCCTTCCCAAAACCAGATGGGGTTTTCTGACAATTGATTCACAGTCACCATCAGACTCTCAATTTCAGAATTTTGATGAATTTAAATTCCACCATCTGTGTTGCAGGATTTGAACCCAAGTCCCCAGAACATCACTGGAATATCTAGATTAACAGTTCCGCGATAATCCAATTAGGCCATCGCTTCCCCATTCAAGGTTAAGTCTGCCGTTCTGGAGGTGTGTGATCCCCCATCCTGACAACGTGGCGTTTCCAAAATACCTGCAGCGGAGAGAAAACCCGGACATTCCAGTTCCCACAATGCGTGTTGGAATCTCAGAAAGCCGAGGCGAGGTGTCCAGCAGGGGTTTCAGATCATTGGGAGATCTAGTCTTCTCCGTACAGACTCCATTTCAGCCATGCCTTGTCTATCCAGTTCGTTCAGTGGCTTGCAGTTCAGAGTGTGTGCCTTCTGTGGGGCCAGAAGTTGCTCGTTCAAACTCCACACTCCAGGTCTCTTTCGCCCTGGAATGTAACCATTGAAACTGGCTGGTTTCTGTTTTTGTATCTCCCACCTGTCAGATCCTTCTAAGAATTCCTGTTCAATGTTGGTCAGAATGGGGCAGATTGCTGTTCCATGCACAGAAGGTGGCAGATGATGTATTCCTCCCCTTAAACATGGACCAACTGAAAAGCTCAATCCTCAGATATGTATATGAGAGTGAAGGAGAGGCAGGTATTAAATTTCCAAAGACCACCAGCTGCTGAAATAGTTTTGAATTTACAAAACTAATGGCCTGCAATGTCCAGAATAGATCAACAGATGCAACAACATGAAATTGGCTTCCCCGGCTGAAAATGAGTGGAGTCAAACAACGTGTGAAACGTGGTTTCCATCGCAAAGTTCACAAGTTTGGTATCTGTACATAGGAGTTACATTATACCTCTTAAACAGACAGTCTATAAAAATCGAATGACCCGCCTCTCATCTGTCTTCTTGTTTCTTACTTGTGTGGAATATTCTCATAATCATTTCCATCCACTCTGTCTTCTTCCTCTGAGAGCTCGCTGAGGTTCAGTGTGGCATATGTGATACAGGAATCATCGGGGTCAGGCTTGGCATCCTGCAATTGGAATGATTTTGGAATGGAATTGGAATCGAGTGGGAGCAGGAAGGTGAAGAGGTGGGAGAGGTCATTTGGGGGTAAAGGTAGGAGTGGATATCAGGGGAAAACAGGAATCACCAACAGGAAGTTCAGTACCACAAGTTAGGAATCTGGTGGTGCAGTGGTAATTTCCCTACATCTGAGCCAGGAGAATGGGGTTCAAGTCCCACCTGCGCCTGAGGTGAGCCATATAGATTATAAAAGTGGGAAGGTGATGTCAGAGCTGTACAGGACTTTGGTGAGGCCTCAGCTGGAGCACTGTGTGCAGTTCCAGTCTCCGCACTATAGTAAGGATGTGATAGCACTGGAGGGGGTGCAGAGGGAGATTCACCAAGATATTGCCTGGGTCAGAACATTTCACCAGTGAAGTGAGGCTGGACAGGCTCAGGTTGATCCTTGGAGCAGAGAAGGCTGAAAGGGGTTTTGATATTGTTTCCATTCACTCATGGGACATTGGCATTGCTGGCTGGGCCCAGCATTTGTTGCCCTGTCCCTAGCTGCCCTCTTGAGAAGGTGGTATTGAGCTGCCTTCTTGAGCTGCTATAGTCCCATGTGCTGTAGGTCGACCCACAATGCACTTAAGGAGGGAACTCCAGGATTTTGACCCAGTGACACTGAAAGAACGGCCAATGTATTTCCAAGTTGGGATGGTGAGCGGCTTGGAGGGGAACACACAAGGGGTGGTGTTGCCATGTATCTGTTGCCCTTGTCCTTCTAGATGGATGCGGTTGTGAGTTTGGAAGGTGCTGTCTGGGGATTTTTGCAGTGTATCTTGTAGATGGTACATACTGTAGCACCCAAGCGGGTGTGAATGACAATGGACTGGCAACTATTTAATGTCATGATCAGTGATGTTTTAATTATGTACAGGAGTAACTGGAACACCAACACCAGTATTGCCACAATTTTGAAACTCACTTATCCCTAGCCACTGGAAGTGGAATGTGATACAGTGAGTGATCGACCCCATTGATAAAGCATTGCTGGATATTTTCCATGTGTTTAAAGGCAGGCACAAAGCTGGGATGGAGGGGGAGCTTTGAAGGAGGTTACAGAGATGCTTCAGTGTGATTTGGACAATTCAGTAAGTGCCAGCTAATGAAGATCAGCATGAGGTTATCCAACTGAGCAAAAACAGGAAGGTGGATTATTTTCCAAAAGGTGATGGATTGGGAATGGGGTGGTGCAATGAGACCTGCATGTCCCCCGTACACCAATCGCTGAAAGTGAGCATTGCAGGAGCAGTGGGTGGTCAAGGAGGCAAATGAGATGCCGAGCTTCAAGAGAGAGGATTCGAGTCCAGGAGCAGGGATATCTTGCTGAAATTGTACAGGGTGAGACCAAACCATGGAGTATTGTGTGTGCAGTTTGGGGTCTCCTGATCTGAAAAAGGATGTTCTGGCTATTGAGGGAGTGCAGTGAAGGTTTCAAAGACTGATTCCTGGGATGGCAGGGTTGACACATGAAGAGAGACTGGATTGGCCAGGATTATATTCACTGGAGATTAGGAGAATAAGGGGAGATCTCATAGAAATCTGTAAAATTCTAACAGGACCAAACAGGATGTTCCCAATGACTGGGAGGGAGTCAAGAACCAGGGGGTCACAGTCTAAAGGAGATGGGTAAGGACTGAGATGAGGAGAAATGTCTTCACCAAGAGACTGAGGATCCTGTGGGATTCTCCACCACAGAAAGCAGTTAGTGCCAGAACATTGAATGGGGAGAGCAGGCTGGAAGGGCTGAATGGCCGACTCCTGCTCCTTCTTTCTAAGGTGTTTCCTGTGATCAGTCTGATAGGAGTCAATAGTTAATGTTTTATGGGGCAGATGCAAGGTATAAATCTACCTGCACTTCCTGTGGCAATAGCTGTGGTCTATTTAGATTTAAAATGTAACATACCTTCTTCCCATTGGAGGAGAAACCAACAGTGCTGCCTGAAAATAAAACAGAACAAGTTGAGAAGGAACTCTTTGGAGACATTGACGATTCAATTTGGACTTATTGAAGGTTGATCAACATTAAAGATGTAACTGAATCTTTCGAAAGCATAGCTGTGTTTTTATAATGGTGCAACGCTTAATGAATTGTCCTCCTCAATCAACCCAGAAACTTCAGAAGATCACATTTAGAAACCTCGCTCTGGCTAAAGCCTGCAACATGCATTCAGGTCAATTAGACAGAGGTCAGTTTTTTTAGGATGCAGGTCATTGCAACATCTTCAGCAGGCCTTCTTAATCTTATCAGCCTTTGCATCATTTGCCCTGTTGTTGCACATTAAAACGACAGGAGTGAACCATACAGATGACATACATTTGGGTTTTAGCTGCTGCATGCTGATGGTTCCAGATAGCTCAGGTGGCTAGATGGCTGGTTTTTGTAATACATTACATGCCAACCCTTGCCAACAGCATGGGTACAATTCCCACACCAGCTGAGGCTACCCTGAAGGTTGTTCTTTCTGAACCTCTCCCCTCTCCTGAGGTGTGGTGACTCTCAAAAAGTTAAAACACCACCCAGTTCCCCCGACCCCTCTCTCTCTCTCTCTCTTTTGAAAGAGCAGGATGTTGGTCATGTAGAACATGACCATTTACTGCTCATTCCCTTCAGACAAAGGCTAGAATGTGTTCGGATTTCATTGTACACAAGGACAACTTCAGTTCAAACGTCCCTTGTGGGTGTTGACAGGTATCCGTGTAATAATTGCAAGTTCATCTTTCTAAGCAACAATATGACATGCGGTGCTTTTATTTTCTCTGTCATCTCAAATCAGCAGGTGGTAGCATTTGGCATATCCGCCTTGAGTATTATGTGAGGAAAATGGAACTTGCTTTCTCTCTATCCATAGATGCTGCCAGACCTGCTGAGTTCCTCCGGAAATATCTGAATTTATTTCAGATGTCCAGCATCCACAGTTCTTAGTTTTATGAGAAAATTATCTATGTCTGCCTCGGTTAAGTATAAAATGCATGTCCCACTGCTTTTGTCACACAGAGAATGTATATACATGTGCAAAACAGTAATTGGGAAGTGACCACCATCATAACACAGTCACCAACACACACAGCGACATATTTTTTTCATTCATTCACAGGACGAATGTGTCACGGGCCAGGCCAGCATTTATTGCCCACCCCAAACTGTTTCCATTGCTGTGGGTCTGGAGTCACATGTAGCCCTGACCAGGTGAGGATTGCAGCTTCCTTCCCTAAAATGCATTAGTAAATTCCTTGGGCTTTTCCCCAACAATCGGCAATGGTTTCATGGTCATTAAACTCTTAATACCAGATATTTATTGAATTCAAATTCTGTGGGAGGATTTGAACCCAGGGCCCCAGAACATTACCGGGGTCGTTGGATTAACAGCCCAGTGATAATATCACTAGGCCATTCCCTTTCTGATTGGAATAACCAGGTGTGAAGCTGAATGAACACAGCAGGCCAGGCAGGGTCAGAGGAGCAGGAAAGCTAACATTTCGGGTCTGGACTCTTCTTCATTTTCTGAAACGTCGGCTTTCCTGCTCCACTGATGCTGCCTGGCCTGCTGTGTTCATCCAGCTCCACACCTTGTTATCTCAGACTCCAGCATCGGCAGTTCCTACTATCCCTTTCTGATTGTTCTGTGTGTTTGTTCTGAGTCACTGACAACGTATAAATCATCTTTAAATCCTTTATTCTATCTGCAGGAGAACAAAGGGTCAGAGCAGATCAGATCGGGGCTTGTTTCTGATTGGCTGGTTTACAGTCCAGTCCTTCATAAGTGCTGGAGATTTCTTTTGGCAGACCCTCTGTTCCCTCAAACTCCTGTCACTGCAAGCACTGTGGTATTTCTCTATTTGGAACTGGCCACACACAAATACATTTTCACAGCAACTGGGATCGTGCTACTGTTGGAGCTGCCATGATCCTCTCTCTCTCTCTTAATCATAGCATTAAACAAACAAAATATTTACCAGACTCCGTTTTCTTCTTGGTGGTGACCACTGAATAAACTATATCTGCAGCGGTGTTTTCTACAAAGAAATAAAGTGCACATGAGAAACACACATCAATCAGAGAGCGTCATTATAATGGGTTAAATGACACGTGCATCATCAATGCATAGATTCATGGATAGATAATAAATTTGAGAGCTGGATGGACAGATTTTATCGACTGATAGATGGATAGACAGACGGATGTTTTAAGACAGAGATAGATAGTTTCTTGAGTAGTAAGGGGGATCAAGGCTTACGGGAGAAGGCAGGGGAATGAGGTTGACAAACATATCAGCCTTGATCAAGTGGCACAGCTGACTTGATGGACAGCATGGCCTAATTCTGCTCCTATATGTTATGGTCATATAGCCTTATCTAGATAAAAAGATGCATAGATAAATAAATATGCATACAGATAATATCCTTGGTGATCATTAAGTTAGCTACGACCACTATAAAGACTGTTATACAGGAAGCTTGCTTCCCTTCATTATCATTTGCATGGAGCACTT